ATTATATACAAATTATAATTAAGACATAAAAATTATATAGATCGTTTTTTTATTCGATTTTTTAATAAAATATATAATTTATTGTATTTGTAAAAATTACAATAATTAATTAAATCAATTAATCCATTAAATTATTATACAAAATCTTTTGACTGCTCAATGCCACGATTGACCAATCAGAGAGCAGTATTCCAGAAAGAAATATGAAAAATATAAACAAACCTTCTTACATTTCTTTTTAAACGGAATCAAATTAGACAGTGATGTGACAGACATTTACCCACACCTATTCCCACATACAGAATAAAGTGTTTATAAACATACATCCATGTATAATTTACCAATGACCTGTTTGTATGTTCAGAATAAGTTTGAAGTTACTAAGCTGGATTCTACTGAAGTATTTATCAGTGAAAGTGCAGCACTCACTATGTTGAAGCAGAAAGAGCCAGAGGCGCTGTAACTGTGCCGGTGGTGAGGCAGGGAACCATGGCTGATCCCACTGAAGTGTCTCCGGATCTCCGCCGAGGAGTGTCTGAGGTGAGAGAGGGAGACAAAGATGAAGAGGGTGGAGAGGAAACAGAAAATGAGGTGCACCATAGGATTATTTTCCAGTGAGAGGTTTTGGGCCGGCACCAGCTGCTTGTTTACACACCAGGTGCTTGTTTACACACTCTCATTGTGTATGTGTGTGTGTGTGAGAGAGAGAGAGATGCAAAGTTACACACACTGAAGGAACCTCCCATCAATTACCTTATTCATTACTCATCATTAAACACACAGACACCTCATTAACCTGAAGTTAAGTGTCTCAGTAACTGTGTAGTTCATGGTCAACTCTACCCAGATATGAATAGTCATACACCATCATACACCCGATATTTGTCCATTTCGAGTTGCAGATGACTCTGTCTGCTTGAACGATTTACAGTAGTGTCCCCTGTTCCAAAGTCTGCCAACAGACCTGTCAATGGATAATTTGTGTAATTTCTGCTTTCTATATTGAACATGTTTCAAACTCAGAGCATACATTTTTTTTCACACATTCCCTCAGAATCGAACCCATGACCTTAGCATTGCTAGCAACATGTTACACTGTTTGAGCTATATGAACATAACAAAAATAAAATAGTGAGATTTAAAATGAGATATCACAATTGAAAATGAAAATCACAATTATTAAAATGTGTCAACTGAGAGATAAAATGTGAGACAAAGTTGCAATTGTGAAATATAAGATTGAAATTAAGTAAAAAAGGTTGAAATTATGAGATAATAATATAATAAAATCCAAATTGCAAGAAATAAAGTTGCAGTTGAGATATAAAGTCTAATTTCTGAGAAAACAGTTTCAATTATGATATACATCACCACGTTGAGATACAGTAGAGTAAAAAGAAACTTTGCGGTGGAAAGGGACTTTCATATAGTTTGCAAGGGTTTTTTTGGGGTGAATTTATTAAGTATTGTGTAAAAAAAAACAACTAAAAGCTAGTTTAATTTCACTTTAGGTGTACATCTCAACTTCCTTTATTAAACTGTAATAACTAATACATATCAGCCAGCAGCCACCTTGCTCTCTAGCTATCAGTATCACCTTAAAATATCCGCATCAGTCAACCACTAGATTTGAACCCACAACATTTGCATTATCAGCCCAGTTCCTTAAGTACTCAGGCTACTATAATCCCAAAGCTATATGTACATTATTATATTCATTCATTTGTACATGTATTAATGGTATCAAATAATTCATTGTATACTTTTGGCAGAGGGTGAGTACAACAACAAACCCTTCTGCAACATGCAGCTTTTGAAACGCATGCTGTGAGATTCCCAAATGAAGCGTAAAATTATTTAGACACTCTAATGACATGTTCCTCAAACACTGGATAGGGTGCGCTGATGAGTGTGTGTGTGTGTGTGTGTGTGTGTGTGTGTGTGTGTGTGTGTGTCGTGGTGCACCTGTGCTTCCTAACCACCATCAGACAGACAGTGTCCCAGATTTCTCTGTCCCACTGCAGCATCACTGATGAAATGAAAATTCACAGTGTAAAAAAACCACACAGCATGAGATTTACTTTAAATTTAGAGCATATACTTGAGTGAATTCAACACCTCCAAAACACTACACTACAACCAAGTTACCACTTAAGCAGTTAGTTACAATTCTCATTTTCACACCTAAATCACTTCAGTCACATTCCCACAGTGTCTCAGCCAACAATTCCCACAATGCAGCCTGTTTTTCTCCTATAACCTCCATTGATTTCAGCAAAAGGATTCGCCTCAGAAGCAGAGAGGTATTGTGTTTGGCAGCCAGCCCTCCAGGCCCCGATACAACAGAGTGCTATTGTGCGCCCGCTTATCAAAAGTCCTAAAAAATGGGTCACCATTCATAACGCTGTGTTGTTTCTTCCCGAACTCATTTACACAGATTGTCTGTTGTAGGATAATGGGGTTTCTGTAATCACGTGCACTTTATATTCACTATGTTTGCTTTGCATCACATGAATGAACTGCATTTTACAATATATAAAAATAGAAAGCAGTTCTTTTAAACGGAAATAATATTTTACTATATTATTGTATTTTTGATCAAATAAATGCAGCCTTGGTGAGTACGAGACTTCACTTTAGAAATAGCAAAAAAAATAAATAAATACAAATCTTACAAAACCCAAACTTTTGAATTGCATTTCCAAGATCGTTATGAACATAGCAATCACACAAAAAGGCGACATAACAAAATGAACTGCAACACCATCCGTTAAATCAAAAATGTTGTAGCTGCTGTTCTTGTTTTTCAGGACTCTGTTTGGTAACTTGCGCCAAATCAAAATATCAACTCGAAAGGCTAGTTTTTAAAAACTAGAGTAGATTTGTTGAATTATTAAATGGGATTTATTTGTTATTTATTTGGGATTTATTTGCTTTCTGGGAAAATATCCACAAAATCAGCTACAAACTTCGTTAACTACTTTAAAAAGTCAAGTCTGGGGCAGGAGAGCATGCAAATTCTCTAAACCACAGGGCAAAGACAAACAGGAGTGAATTATAGCATGCAGCCTCTCTATATATTGAAGACAGACCACAGAATACCGCAGAGAGTATTTAGTAATGCAACACAATCACGATTCGTTCATAATAGTTCACGTCATTATAGAACAAAGGTCAAACCTCATGCAAGACGAAACGCCAGCTGAATTTCTAAAACAAACACATTACAAACTCACATTTCTCTATAAAAGCAAAGAAAGGAATATCAGATCTTTTATAGGATAACCAGGCATTCAGTCGAGTCCTATGACAAAAGTCACTATGAAGAAAAACCAATTAAACATAAAAGCCTGAGATGCGTGTGAGCTACAGTTTACACTCCACAAAAATGTTACAGTCTTTAATATGACTGGAATGTTCATCACAACAAAACAGCTCATGAAACTATGGATGATGGTGTTTCTGTGTTATCATGGACTGTTCTCTGCACTGGAGGTAATGACATAGGGTGCAGAGATGAGTCTCAATTTGACCCTCCTTCTGCTCCATTGGATTTCCATCAACTTTGACAGGAGCTGTAATTATTGGGAACATTTCACACAAACAAACAAACAGCTCACACTTTATGAACAGCCATCATGATTTTGTTACAGACTTTTTGATAATATGATTACAAAGATCAGAAATCTTTTCTAAGGCATTCTGATGATAATTGCTTGTATACTGTAAGCATTTGGGTCATTTTGTTCACTACATTAGAGATTACTCAACCAGGTACTAAAGAACTTCTGAAGGGTGGAAGGGGAAGGGATGGAGCAAGTTCTGTCTGTGCAACTTTTTAAATTGCTGGTCTCTATACGCACGTCAGACAGACGCCTTTGGTCATTTAGCCACGTCTTTTCTTGCAACATGAATGTTTTTAAAGGGATAGTTCACCCAAAAATGACAATTCTGTTATTAATTACTCACCCTCATGTCGTTCCAAACCCATAAGACCTTCATTCATCTTCAGAACACAAATTAAGATATTTCTGATGAAATCTGAGAGCTTTCTGACCCTGAATACAGAGAGCAACGCAACTACCACAGTCAAGGCACAGAAACGTAGTAAGGACATCGTTAAAATAGTCCATGTGACATCAGTGGTTCAGCCGTAATGTTAAGAAGCTACAAAAATACATTTTGTGTGCAAAGAAAACAGAACTAACAACTTTATTCAACAATTTCTTTTCTTCCGTCTCAGTCGATGCATGTTCACAAGAGTACCACGACAAGAAGAAGAAATTGTTGAATAAAGTCATTATTTTTGTTTTCTTTGCACTTTCTGGGCCTTGAACGTGTCAGTTGTGTTGCTGTCTATGTAGGGCCAGAAAGCTCTAGGATTTCATCAATAATAATAAACATTATTTATTAAGATAATAAATATCTTAATCTGTATTCTGAAGATGAACGAAGGTCTTATGGGTTTGGAGCGACATGAGGGTGAGTAATTAATGATAGCATTTTCATTTGTGGGTAAACTATCCCTTTAAGTCACCGCATCAATTTAAAATGCATCTGTATTGTATATAATTTTTTTTAACTAGGGATGAACCAATATTAAAATTGCACTCTTAAATGGCAAGCACATTCACAGTGCTCTTAAAGTCATAGCTCACCCCCCAAAAATGAAAAATGTCTCTGTGTTATTTTTGTCTGTACAACAGAAGTCCATGGTAACCAAGTTTGGGTGAGTAAATGATGACAGAATTTTCATTTTTTGGTGAACTGTCTATTTAAAGGGTTGAATTTTTGCTGTAACGTATCAAAATCCTGTTATCACTAAATGATAATCTAAATCTTACAATAGGCAGAAAGAATTAAACATATAAACTTGGCTTTATATAATATGTCTATTTCTAGTACATAAACTACCATTCAAAAGTTTGAGGTCAGTAAGATTTTTTTAAATGTTTTTGAAAAGCATGACGTCTCTTATGCTCACCAACATTTATTTGATTAAAAATACAGCAAAAACAGTAAAAGTGTGTAATGTTATTACAATTTAAAGTAACAGTTTGAATATATTTTAAAATGTAATTTATTCCTTTGATTGTAAAGCTGAATTTTCAGCAGCCATTACTCCAGTCTTCAGTGTCCCATGATCCTTCAGAAATCAGTCTAATATGATATAATATAATAGAAAGCTCAAAAGCATTTATTTGAAATATAAATCTTTGATAACATTATAAATGTATCTTTTGATCAATTTAGTGCACTTATTCACAATGATCCCAAACGTTTGTGTACGGTAGTGTACTATATTGACCTAATTAGAATTAAACTTTTAATTCGATGCATTGTTTAAAAAATATATTTAGAAAGAATCCAAACATTCAATAGTGTCAATAATCAAAAGTGACATCTTCTAAAAAAAACTAAATGAACAAAAATCAACTTGTCAGATCTGCTCTTATTTTTCCCCATTGCAGATTGTGCATGATGACAAGAGACTGTAAAACATAAGTACTAAGTACGGCCATGAAAGTGGCAGCCACATTCCAAAGAGAGCAGACTATTATTGTTAGTCTTAGCCGTCACAGCCAAGTATGATTGTGAACACTATTGTGCAAGAACACCACTCTAGAGTGTAACTTCCCTTGAAGGTCAACATCAGCTGAAGATAACTGAAATTAAAGAACTATTCTCGTGATACTGTCGAGCATTTCCTTCAACTACAACCTTTCTGTTGAACGAGGGCTTTCGTTTATAGTCTGCCACGTCTCATTTCATTCTGTTTTCACCACAATGTCCGTCCTAAAACATTAAGTGTCACTTCTCATACAGAAATATTTCTCCATGCGCCCAGAAAAAATCAAAGGATTATGAAAAAGATGGAATAAAGAGCAAACAAAAACCCCAGGGCATCCTTCTCCAGTACAAAACACAGCTGTGCTCACAGGACTTTTCATGTGTGAATGCATCCTTCATGCAAATAAATGTGTGGTCACTGAAAATGAGAAGGGACACGGAGGGTGGTGCATGAGCCAAGAGAAATCTGCAGCGTATGCGCTGACGTTTTTCCCCTATCCAAAGCTGTCTGCACGAGACAGCACGAGTTCAGCTTGTGCAATACAGCAGCTGCAGCCACAGCAAGTATCAGCCCCCAGTGAGATGCGCTGTCAGGCTGCACTTGCATGAAAATCTGGGAATCATTCTGTTAGCGATGAGCTCTGGGCTTTTTACTGCTCGACTTTGTTTTAGAGACATGCCTATAATCTCTCTTTACCATCAATAAGTCCTTCTGAATTTCCTATTGTGTCCTACAACGAGGAAGTGAAACAGTGACTGTTAATTGCTTAATCATAGTTACCCAATACTGCTGTGACAACGGACATAAACCTAGAGCTCACTATAAAATAGAGATGTACCGACACAATTGACCCTTCACAGGGAGTTTGACTGACAGGCGATCTGGCCAATCGTAATGCAGAATCTGTCATTTTTGTCAGACAAATAAACCAGACAGGAGAGTAGATCGTGTATTGACATCTTTGCGCGGTTGAAACAAGATACCTTCTAATGTTCATTCATGTTTATTTCATGCTATAACTAGTAAAGAGGAAGAAATGATCGGTTCACTTGCCGCTTGAACTGAAGCGCTACAGCGATCTGTCACAACACAATAAAGAGCCACAAAACGGTATTTGTTGTTTGAATTTCTTAAAAAAGACTAAATTTGAAAGTGGAGACTTTGTTTCATATCAAAAGTAACCTGCTCTGTCTTGTCTGTTGGCACATTTTCAGTGTCCTCGTTGCTCCGCAATGTATTTTTCACTGCGTGAGAACATAATGTGTGGCTGTGTTTTTTGTAATTTTTCAGTATTGGATATTTAACTGTGCAGCTCATTACATTTAGATTACCTTTGCCATCATCTAACACTCACAACTGATCTGTAAAAACGCTAATAATCTAATAATAATGTAATCTTTAGCAGCTATCAAAATGAATATCCATTTTTCATACTGTCGTACATTATAATACTGTGATGCATAAATTCACTGCACTTCATTAATTCACATCATCTTAGTGCTGGGCGGTATACCGGTTCATACCGAATACCGGTGTTTATTTTTGTTATGATATGAATTTTTAAAATACCGCAATACCGGTTTATGTCGCTTAAACAACGTTAGGAACGCGACACTGTTTGAAAGAAGTCCCTTTTCACTGTTTCACTGTGGTGAGGGAACAGCTGTATGTGTTACTAAGCGTGAAAGTTCCGAAACTGAAGCTGTAGAACTAATAGAACGTGATGACAATTTTATCAGACGATGCCGCGATTATAAATGAGAGTGACTCCTGGTTAACATGTATTAAAAGGGGTCGTGTTTAGTCACTATAGTGTGTTATTTTTTGACAATATTCACTCATCATGACAGTAAAATAGGGCATTCTAAGTCAATATACTGCAGTATTTCCTCTCTCAAACAGTAGAAAATATGGTTAACACACGGTCATGCATGAAAAAAAAATACCGTCATGTACCGTGAAACCGGTATAATTTTGAAAAATACCGTGATATACATTTTTGGTCATACCGCCCAGCACTACATCATCTTTAGAGTTTTGGTTTAATTTTGACAAAATATCATTTAATAATAACTATTTTTACTTATTGGCCATTAAATAATAATAACAAAAATAATAAAAACCCAATCTCACAGGAAAACATAACTATTTTACAAGCTCTCGGATTTCATCAAAAATATCTTAATTTGTGTTCTGAAGATGAACGAAGGTCTTACGAGTTTGGCAAGACATGAGGGTGAGTAATTAATGACAATTAACATTTTTGGGTGAACTATCCCTTTAATATCAACTAATAACTAATATAGTACCAATATCAAAGTTTTCATCTCCGCAACAAACTTTTCAGAAAGCTACTTTACATATCTTTTCATGTTTTTGTAATCAGTACAAGCAAAGATATCAAATACTGATGCTGATCAAGCACAATAACAATTGTGCTTATACAGGATGCTGCTGAACATGTAAAATACTGTTTTTCAGTTTTGGCAAAGCCATTAAATGCTCACTATGGGTGATGTATAGCTACTGAAGATGGATTATTAGTCATTAAAAAAAATAAATAATCCAAAACATGAGTACACAGACAGCAGCCTGAGATTCAGTGCAAAATTGCAACATGCCATCTTGGTATGGATCAAACCTGCAGCATCTTCATTACAAGCCAAAAGCCTTACATTTCAACCACCATGAAGCGGTTACATCTGAGAAAACAGCATCTCTGAGTTCCTCAGATAAACTAGTGGTTAAACACATGTGACTATATAAGCAAACAGCTTATTAATTCATAAAGACACTCCACTGCATGATTCCCACAATCTGCTGGGGGGGGGAATGGAGTGTGGCATATGACAGTTATGTTATGAATGAACCTTTGTGTGCCTGTGTGACATAAACTCACAAGACATAATACCGATCATTACCCTGTATATGAGCACTTTGTTCCCTTTGTTTTATTACCGGACTCCCTTCTTCCACTATGTCCGTATATTCATTTCCTCCCCACCTGTTGTGTGATAAAACAGGAACAATACAAACTTCCACCATAACTTTACACCTAACAGAGGCCAGTACTGACTCGTCATAACCAGAAGAGAAAAGGGGGCTTGTGGAGGAAATGATCAAATAGACAGGAGATCCATATTTAGAATTACACGGAAATGAATGAAAATTGCACTCAAATGCTTTGACATATTTTTTTCAATCATTCTTCCTTTCTTTTTGCCTGAAGGGATACATGTGGAAAGCCTCTGGACCTCAATAACTTTTACAGCACAGATGTATTTGAATGTAGACCATCTGCATACTGAAAGTGACAGGTTGCTATTAATACTTCAGTTAAAAGCTTATTTGAAAATTAGATTTCCATACTGAAAAAAAAACATTAAATGTAGGCTACTGATAAATACTGTAATTAGTGCAATAACTCATGAAATAAGCGGTAATATCACATAGCCATAATTGATAAGAAGACTCACAAGACTATCAAGTCTCATGGTGCCAGACTTGTAGCTTATTCCAAACGTGTAGCTGCCTGTTCCGGAATTCACCAAAACTCCCTGAAGATTTAACACTGACTGCGGACAGACAGACAGCTCCAAAGGTCAGCTCAGCTTCCCTGGGATCTGTCAGTGCACGGGCTATGAGGTCTAGCCAAAGGAAATGAACATTACCTGTTGATTTTGAGAGCGAATGCTCTCCGCTCTGACGCTGGCAGAGAAGCCATAGCCATGCGAGTCTGATCTCAGTCCACGCAGAGCCGCGGAGAGCAGCACGGAGCGGGGATGATCGTTGATGGCATCGCGAGCCTCATCTTCGCGGTATCAGCGGCTTTGCTGGGCGGAAACTTCCGCATTTTAACTTCAACCCAAACAGAGTGGATTTAAACGAGAGAGAGAGAGAGAGAGAGAGAGAGACTAAACGATGTTATGAAGATTAAGGGTGGGTTTACTTAAACAAATGGGTTTAAATGGGTGACGACAGATAGCAGTACACTATAAACAAAAATACCGGTTTACGTTAAGATGTGAAAAAATAACAAGCCTGGATATCTTTTTGTCGACATAATATGTTTGATAAAATATTATTGACAAAATATGTTTATGTTGTTATTGTGGTATCTGGTGGATAAGCAGTTATTTATTTATTTTTTTTCAGTAAACTGGTTTTTACACTTGGTCAAGTTGCTGAATAAAATGAAATCTAGTCAGAGATGTGAAATAGGACAGCTGCGACCCCTGTCGGCCATGAATTGCGCTCAAACAATACCATTTTAGTATTATTTATTATATATTGTTACAGCATTTTTTAAATGATTTATTCATATTTTGAATTCATTTTTATACGTTCTATTTTCATTTTATAAGCTGTATTTAATTAATTTTAATATCGTGCTTTTGTCGGTTTTAATTCTTTTTTAATACTTCTGTTTAGTCCAAATGTACCAAAATATTAAATGTATAAAAGTAAATTATTTTTCTATAAATTAACGTTATATTTTCTATATGTTAAAGAAAAATACTGCGTGTTCTTACTTTGTGCATATAAAGTGTTTGGTAAGTTTGCCATCAGTTGTTCTAGTCTATATAAATCAGGGGCATACTTTTTTATAATTGTCACCATATTTATCTCTATGCTTTCTTTTATTTATTTATTTGTATATTAAGTTATTAAATACAGCGTGAAATGCTAAACACAGCAGGTTTAAACACCATTCACATCATGCACGTAACATTCGTTCCATTTTTAACTAGGAACTGTACCTTCAAGCCAAAGCGCAGCTCGGACCGTGATTACATACACACCAGCATATCGCTCAATTAAGTGTTGCTCTTTTATTACAAACTGGACGACAGAACTCACTCTGCAGGTTATGTTTTAAAGTAGTACTTCATCTAAGAGCTCGTATTTCGCAAAGTGTAAGTTGTGTTTTATATGTGTTTATTCGCTTCTATTGTAATGCATGGCGCTTGTAGATCGTAGTAGTGCCAAACCGCACTATATTGACAGCACATGTATATGTCTTATATTAACAGCTCATATCTATCAAACACGGTGAAATATAATATATGTTAGATTTATGTTCGACCTCTGAGTGAGATGCCCCTACGCTGAGTAATCTTAACACTGTAGAATGAATATCCTGTCTTGTTATGCCATATAAGCATATAAACCACTCCTTCCTGTTTGTGTGTTTACAGACTCTCATTAGTTCAGGAGAGCTCAGTAATGGAGGAAGAGGATGAATGTCCGGAGTTAGTTCCCATCAAGGAGAAGCAAACCGGACCCGCAGTTCAGATACCGGTTACCATCATCACTGGATACTTGGGTCAGCATAGAAAAAACAAACAAACCATAAAATATTTGCTTTCATAAATATGATTAATGTAGACCATAAATCATACTTATGAAAGCTAAATAAATACATAAAATAAAATATGCTCTATAATACAATAATGCAAATATGTGTTACTGTATATTAGGGCTGCACGATAAATCGCATGCGATATTTAACGCGCATCTTATCAGTAAAGCCGGTTCTGTAATCAG